TCCTGCGGGGCCACCACCTCCTGAGGGGCTGCTCTGCTGGGCTCACTGTGGAGCTTGTGTGATCCCAGGAGGGTGGCAGGGGCTGGTGGCCCAAGGGGGACTGGATCCTACAGAGCTCTGCGCCACGGTGCTGGTGGTGATGGGCAATTCCGGTGCTTGTAGTATGTTGCTCTGCCTGGTGTTGCATCAACACCACAGACTGAAACGCGCCTTGTGCTCTCGCTGCTGTCGCTGCCTGATGTGCTTCTCATCCCTAGTTGGAATACCTTGATAACCACGTGTTCTCTGTAACAGGTCCGGATCGAGGATGACATCGCAGTGACAGCCAGTGGAATGGAGCTGCTAACGTGCGTCCCACGTACTGTTGAAGAAATAGAGGCTTTCATGGCAGAAGGCCAAAGCAGTGCCAAGTCATTTGACTGCCTCTCCAGCCAAAAGCAGTAAACTTCAGGATGATGCTTACTGTCTCACACTAATCAGTCATCATTCTGATTTAATGCTGCAGCATATAAAATAAAATGCATCCAATTCTTAATAGCAAGAGAGGCAGACAGGCTATTAGCTAGAATGATTCATTCATTAAAAATGAATGTAGAAGGCTTCAGCACTTGATATCCAGGTAACTCAAATGCTGCTGCTTGCAATCAGCAATTTACATTACCAAGTGCTACCTGAATAACCCTGCTCCATTATTAGTGGGGCTTATACTTCTGTCAAATATCAGTTCAGACATACCTTGCAATTAAGTCTGAATTTTGATGATTTGGACTCTTTAAAATACCAAATGGATTATCTTAATGCTGTCAGCAATTGTAACAACCTAAGTCCTTTTTTAAACTTCATCACAAGTACTGTGAAAAACAGAAGAAAAATCAGCTGTTCTCGGTGGACATAATGACACACTTTTCTTACAGATCTTATTTCAGCGTCAATGGAGTAAGCAGAACCAAATTTTTATTAAAATTCATCGTTGGCATCATTTATTCTCATAACTTTGTGATCATTATGCTCTT